TTTACTTCAAAGAGGGTCATTTCGAAGAGCGCTTTCTAGTTTTAGCCGGTAATGAGTCTACGATCTTGTACAAGGAGATGTACGGCCGCTTCGTGCCGTTTCAAAAAATCGCTCCGACGAGGCAGATTCTTTCCTTGACGATGGGAAACACCGTCGTCCTGTTTTCAGTGGAGCAGGATACCGTAGAAATTTATCAATGCAACGGCTGGAAATTTTTAAGATTGCGTACGAAATTGTCGAACTTTCGACAAATTCGTTCTATTCGCTCATATGACGAAGATATGCTCGTAATACAGAATCAAGCCGGAGAATGGAAATTCTTAAATCCTATTTGGACGGTGAAGAAAACGTGGAAATCCTTGCTGCACGAAACCGCCACTTGGTGTTCCGAAATCAAGCAACAGATGTCTCAGAGAACTTTGGAAAAACTTCCAGATTTAAAGAGTCCCGTGATTCCGAACGCGCACATCGGTCAGCTTCGTACGCAGAATGTAAAACACTGTCTCTCGATTTCTGTCAGTTTAAATAAAAAATAAAATTCATATTAACTCGATTAATATAATTTTGTATTTGAATGTTGCTAGATTAACGGTCAGAATGCAGAGGAACTGGTCCAGTTGACGAAGCGATACAAGAGTATAATTGCTAAATTAAATCTAACGAACAGCCTCTTGGCACAAAGAATAGAAGATGCTGAAAAATCTAAACATATAGTTTTGCACGGCAAAAAGCTCACAATCAAGTGTAAAACGAATTGTCATGTTAATCGTATAATTACGGATGGCGGGATTATACCCAAATATGTGAAATCCAAACCTAATGAGGTCCTACGGCTCGCCAAATTGAAAGTAAAGACGCTACTTAACTGGAGATGCCCCGTCCCTAATTTTAAGATAGATGATATTTTCGTTAAGAAATCTATTAACGGGATATTAATGCGAGACCTGCAAGAAAGAGCTTTGAAAGTTTCAGGAGATCAAGTAATTACAGGTGAATTTAATGCACTAAGTTGGTTGTGTTTCTTTATTACATATCCTGTATAGTGTATTACATTATGTTTAATATGAATTTTAGGTAATCATGTTTTCGCCAATTTGCGTGCGACAGACGTTTCGATTCCTTTAGACATTGCGACAAGAAGCATTGAGCAAACAGTGTACATGAAAGAGGCGAGAGTAAAAGATTTATATCTAACAAAGGACAAATTCTTTTTACCATTAAATGGTCCCACCACTGTAATGAACGGTTCGATAACTGCTACAAAAGTGAGACTTACAGGACTTGTCAAAATGTCAGGCAAAATAACGGGCAGAGGATCTGAAAGATTAAAGCCTTTGAAAGAGATTCTCACACCGTTGGTATTGTCTGGTGACCGTTTTCTACAGAACGTGACGTTCATGAACTTCGTTAAAGCTAAAGATATCGTCAGGTCTCGTGGGCTGTCGATGAAAGAAATCTTAGAGAATACTGTACCGCTAGATTCTAACGTATCGGTGCATTTGATATTATCCAGCAACAAAACAGTAATTGTTTAAAAATCTGTGTTTGTGTGCGCGTGTATGACAATTTTGAATTTACTTTATATTTTTATTTTCAGCAATGGAGCAACGTGACTATGTGGGACTTTGTTACCACGAATTTCGTAACGAAGAATTCTGCTGATACTATTGTTATTTCTGGAACAAAATACACGAATAATAGTGTCACTTTGTCGAGCGCTGCTCACCAAAATCTTCCCATTCCAAAGTATACACATCCTTTTGTTTTATGAAGCGCGTATTCTACATCCTCTAAAAATATATACTTGCAGATTGACGATTCCCCTATGTGCAAAAGAAGTCATCACTCCGGAAATTAGAACTTCTTCAATGAAAATGGGCGATATATTTGTAAAAAATTTAAATGTTTCACATATTCTTGGAGCTCAAAATTTGAATACGACCGTTTTCGGTTCGGTATCAGATTTACACAGCATTGACTTTTCAGCGAAGCTATTCACGGGTCAGGTTTTCGTAAAGAATATATCAGCGTCAAAAATTAAGGGAATAAATCTAAAAAGTAAAAATAACTTTTTAAATTGGTCTAAGTCTCGCACTACACTCGATATTATGTAGACCTAAAAATTGCAGTGAACGAGTGGACAGGTGAAAGTCACATCAAAGGACCAGTAAATCTCAAGAAACTCGTCGTTAACAATCTCGAAACGCCAGCCTACTTCAATCTCTCTGTACCTAGAGAAGTAAAGAACGTAATTATAAAAGGAGATAGTGACATTGGAAAAATCAATGATATAAACATACAATCTTTTATGGAAAATGTACTGAAGGTGGATGATCTGATATCTTTAGGACACGTAACATTTGGTAAGTTTACGTGTAATATTTTCCCATTAATTTGAAATAAAAATTTAATGCGTAATTTATATCTTGAAATTTTTTTGCAGCTCGTGGTTTTACGTCAAGCAACATATATGCTTCCCGCTCGACGTTAAAACTTTCGCATTTAGATACAAATCTCAATTTGGGTTCAAAACAGATTTCTACTACTTTAAGTACAGATGCGATAAACGTGCCTCAGACTTTTGGTTACGTCGCAAGCAATGCACCATCGACATTTATTATAGAAGGTACAGTGATGGAATTTACTAATTATATTTTATAACAACAGGATTTTAATGTATGTAAATATTTCTACTTTAGGATCAGCCAGATTTTTGAAGGAGCCAGTTATAGAAAATATAAAGGATGTGAATCTAAAGCAATTATCTGAAAATTTATGGATGGCAAATCAGGACACAACTTTATGTGGTAACAATATATACTTTGAAAATATTACTTTAACAGGAGATATCATCCTAAAGGTAAAAACATTAGTAAAACAAAAAATATCTTATGTATAAAAAAAATAATATTAACCATAAGAAATTTAATAATTTTTTCAGCATTTTAACAGTTCATTGAATCTAAACATGTGGGAGGATATGAAATGCAAATTTTTAAGCAAAACGAAAACACAGCATATTACTGTAGCTTCGTCGTTTAAGAATGTTGAGGTGCCTGCTATGAACGCAGAAAATAATTCAATTCTACAATCTTCAGACTTGAATTTGAACAATTTGCTGACTAACTCCTTGATGAAAAATACGACGCAAACTATAGATGCTGCGTGGCGTTTTGAAGAATTATACATAAGTAAGGCAGAGAACATTATTTTTTTCTTAAAAAGATGAATTTAAAAAAATAAATTATATCTTTAATTTAGATAATATGATTTGGGATGGTAAATTTAATGGAATCGACTTAAACACGGATATTGTTAGGCATGACACAAAACGTAACGTTGTCACCGGTAAGAAAATGATATTAAGCTTGACGACTAAAAATCTCCAGGCATTAAATATGAACTTTTCAAACTTTATTAAATATGCTGTAACTAAAAAATGTCAGAAATTGTTGGTGATTAAAGGTCAAAAAACTTTTACCAACATTACTTTGAACAATTTGAGGTAATTGATATTTCTATTGAAACAATATTTTTGTTAAATATCGTTAAGAACTCTTAGTTTTTTCTCTTTAGCGTCAAAGGTACGATTATGGGTCGCAATATCGAAGACGCGTTACTGAAGTCCGGAAATCAAACGCTGTTCGGAATCAAGAGGATACAAGGCCAGCTTAATGCAATATCTCTTGTTATTGATGGTACTGTGAATGATGTAAATCTGACGGAGTTAATAAACAATCAAATGAAGAAACGTAAAGCGGTGCAGACAATAGAAAGTAAGATGGATTTCAGAAATGAAATTGAAATTTTTGGAAACATCACAATCGGTGGACTCTACGAAGGGATAAATTTAACAAGTATTACGAAAAATAAAATAAACACAGTTTTTGAGAGAATGACGGAAGTCATGACATTAACAGAAGATATAACAACTGCGTTGCAAAGTGAGTTATACATTCAGATCATTAAATAGCATTTAAGAATGGATAATATTAATTCAACAAAATATTATTATTATTATATCATTTTGTGTGCAGATCGTGCTATTTATGTGAACAAATTTGAAATGGTGGACAAGGATGTATTGCAAACCGTTTCTAACATTTCTAACACAGAGGACATGAATCTTAACAGTACCTGTCTTTGCGAGTCAGAGAGTACATCTTCAATTTGTAACGATACGGAATTATTGTATGCTGTCACCGGTACAAATGTCAGCGCGTTTGTGACGAAGAAATTGATACTATTGGATGATACTATGTTTCTAGTATTAGTGTCAAAAGATTTCGTCTCAATTTATTCACATACCGATGAACAATTTTATCAGGTAGCAGGTAAGTCTCACGAAGAAATATTTAATCACATTACAGCAATGAAGAATATTTTGTAATATTACGAAATAATATTTGACAGGATTATACGTGCCTGATATACTTGAGGTATTTATGGAATCAATCGATTATTCGTTATGGATTTTTTTGCGATTGTTCGACGAAACCTTGATATTGCGTTATCACGCGTGGAACGAACTCAATCAATACGTTTTGCCGGGTTCGAGTTCGTTTGTAATCAGTAAGACGCCGAATGGTCAACATCTGTTAATACGATCCGACGGTATGTGGAATCTCGGAGGACTTTTCCGTCCGGAACACATTTTTAAAATGTCTCTAGAGGGGCAAATAAAGACTTTCACTCTCGGTGCCGATTATTATATCAAAGCAACAACGGAGAACAGCACGACCGTTTTAAAAGCACGATATGTGAGCAATTAGTACGCGTAAAATGTTATTTCTTAATAATTCCTGTGGAGAGTTTATTCAAATTCGAGAAATTCAGTATGTATACTCATACATAAGTATTTATTTTACACTCGTATATATTTATCGTTCTTACTTGCAGTAGCTTGAAATAAAAAAAGAGAAAAACGCAAGATAAAAATTTGTAGATATGTATATTAATTGTATCTATATTAACTGCGCTAAAAATATATTGAACTGCACTGTATCAAATTATTTCTAGTTTATTATCACAAATGGATAAGAATGTAAAAAGGCGAATATTATAGATCGGGAAGGACCAATTTTTTAAGTTAAACTTGGGCTGTCATAATTGTGGAAACTGTCCCCTAAGAAAGAGATAAGAAAGTTTTGCCGTTTTAACATTACCTTAACATATAATTAATTGTAATGGCACGTACTTTTGCAGCGTCTTTGAAGATCGTTATTTCTTCCGTTTTGTGGGTTTTGTGTTCGTCAATCATTTTTGTCTCCTCGATTTTGTATTGTTTCTGAAAATCGGTCATTCGTAATTTTGTGACGTCACTTGCGTTATGCGTGTTCTCTTTAATTATAGATTTTGATCTACGAAACGTAAGAAAATTTACATGCTCGGGGAGCACATATTGCAAAATTATTCGAAGTAGTCTCGCAATCGAATGCTCGACAAGATGCGTGTGTACACCAAATGGATGATCAGCAACGTTCTACGCATCATCAATACGATGTATGATGGAAACGATACTAAGAGGAATTTAGACTTATAAAGAATGTCTAGGAGCAACGATTGTACGATTGGGACTATCTTCGCCCGTACCGATTCCTTCTTCGTAAACTGCTCCTCGAACCTCTTGCGTTCCTCAATCGCATTATTAAGCGCGATCTGCTCCGCGGGCGTAAGCACCAGGAGGCGCGGATCCATGCCGATCCAGTCGCTCTGCACGATTTGATCCAAATGCCAGCGTTTAGACACGTCTGGCTCGAGCAAATTGCCTACAAGCTTCTTCACACGATCGGTTAGAGTGTCGATTACTTTGCTGCGGAATTTCCATTTACGCGCTACCTGCAGCTCGTACAGGCGCTTTAGGTTGTCCTCATCGAATGGCATGGACTTGTTCAACATTATGTAGAGAATCACGCCCAGCGCCCATATATCGGATATCTTTGGATTGTACGGGTAACCGCGAAGGATCTCCGGCGCTGCGTACGATAGTGAACCACAATACGTGTCGCTCAGAACGCGCTGGCCATGGCTGTCAATCATGTATCGAGCAAAACCAAAGTCCGCCAGTTTGACGTTGTAATTTGATGTGAGAAGAACGTTTTCGCATTTAATGTCGCGATGCGCTATTTCCATCTCGTGTAGGTATTGAAGACCTGGTAAATGAACACGCATTAGGGAAAACATCCACAAACAAATTCATGTTAAATGCACAAATATAACTCGTCAAATTATAATTATTAATTACTTTTATTAATTGCATTCGTGATTGATCTCTTTAATAAATCAATCCTGGAATGCTCATATTTTTTTTAAATTAACACTACTCTCAACAAAAACGGCAAAACCCATAAAATTAAGAACTTTTTTACACCTTTTTATATCTACTTTATAGGTTGCATAGGTGTTAGAATAACTAATATTAGTTTTATATAAAAATATGAACTTTCAACAATCTACCTAACAGCAAATATTTAAATTAGCACTCGGGTGAAAATTCACTTATAGCAGTATTATAGTTAATGCCGTTTCTTCAAGATAGAAGTATCACGATACCTAAAGCAAGCTGTCTGAACCACACGCGAGCCTGACTCTCTGCCACTCTACCGTTTTTCAGTATAAAATTGAAAAGATCGCCGTTCTCAGCAAAGCGCATGAATATGAAGTACTTGGTGCGCCTTTGGAAGATACTGTGAACGTGCACGACATGTGGATGATTCAGTTTCACCAGAATGTCCAGCTCACGTGGCAGGAACTTCTGAACAAAGTCCTTTGGTGCATTAGCAGTGTCGATTATTTTACAGGCCAGGACGCTATTTCTCTCCGACTCATGTTCCGGTTTATATTCGGCTAAATACACCTATAATGAGAATTAATGTTATTTAAAGTGTCTGACAGGAATAATAGAGATTTTTTAATTAGGATACAGACTTTTGCATAACAACCTTCGCCGAGCTTCCTCCCCAGCTTGTAACCCCGGGCTAGCAGTGTGGCCTCCTCGGATGGTGTATGGCTCAGGTGCGACATGAGATTTGTAGGACGACAGACGACATTCTACCCGCTGCATTACCATAATTCGTAATTAGCCGTTCTCACTTTGTTCGATGTTTAGACATAGATCGCATCGTGAATGCGAATAACTAGACGACGTTGCAGAATCTCCATTCATGCATTAGACAAAGCAAATTATCAAGACATTTACCGTACTATTCTATTTCTTTATCTTGACGATGGTGACGAATCTTATACTAAAAATTTTAAAAAATTCGCAAGAGCGGTTACTTAACCATTTTGACGATAAGCTGACATGGGTCAATGAACATGAACCGAGCTCGGCCTTATCGAAGTAATAATCGAAAACAATTAAACATCATAAAAGTAGAAAAGCAAGATAAATTTAATGAAGAGACGTATCTGTACACAAATATAAAACGTTGGAAATTATTCATATATTTTGTTTTCACAGCTTAAAAATTTTTTAATTAACACTAGAAACGCTGATAGTATCCCGTTAGAACTGCCGAAGGTGCCAATTTGGGAATTTCCTATCTCTTGGTTAGTGAAAAATTATTTTTGTATTTATTATATTATTTATATCGTTAGAAATATTATATTCACATATTTTCAATATTCTGTATATCTAACGTAAGGTAGAAGGGTTGAAATAATTAGCGGAGCCAAAATGGCACCATCGGTGGTTTTAATCAATCAATACGCATTCAATTCACATAACATTTCACAGCTCAGAAGCGTACTCCAATCGCTTAATGACCATTTTGTATTCCTCTTCCAAGATCCGGTATTCTTTTTCTAGTATCTCTTTGCGTTGCTCATCGGATGGTAGTCCATTACCATTCGTACACGTGCTTTTATCCCCGGTATTTTTCAAAGCGCGCTCTATTTTCATCTCCTCATTCTGTTTTCTTTTAAATGGTATATTCAGTCTTTTCTTCACATCTATTCTGTACGCTCGATATTCTTCTGCATCCGCGACATTTGTTGCCTGCAATCGTAGAATTTCATACACTATGCGAGCCTGTTTCTGTGAACAAAATATTTATAAAGTACAAAAAAAGGAGAAAAACAAGTGATGATAATACAAAATAAGCCACATGTTAATAAATACCTTGTTTATTCTTAATGCATTTCTAGCCTCAACAACCATTTCATTATCAAAACCATGTTTTAAATGTTTTGGCGCGAAACTGGACAATGTGCTGCAATTTAAGGCGTCCACATAGTTTCGTAGTCGTTGAAAATCTTCGGACGGACTTTCGACTGTAAACATAGATTTATTAAAATGCACAGTCATCAACGCGCAATGTTGGCCGTATTCGTATAAACATTAGGATTGTTACTTTTAGTAACTTCGAAGATGTGAAGCTTCGGAAGAATTCAAATCTTCAAAGTTAAACTTTCAACGTTTAAAAAATATATTTATGAAAATAAAAAAAAAACGAAAATATATTCATAATATATGTTCATAAATATATTAGTACACTTTTTAATGAAAATATTTTCATTGCTATTATAATCATATTAAATTAAGAATTTTTTAATTTTTATTGTTCCAAGTTTCAAAGATTTTAATATCAAAATTTCGAAGTTCAAATTCGAACCCTTCGAAATAAATCATCGGTCATAATATACACCGCTAGTATTGAAAGACTGTAGTATATGTGATGAAATTACAAATTTTCAGTAGTAGAAGTGCATATCGGAATATGGCTTCTGCCGAGGATTCTTCTGTTACCTGTTATATCCTTAACTTCGCGCCTTCCCATGTATTCGCGATAAATCGCTTGCAACAAATGTTTGCCAAGACCTATTCTTCGAAATGGTGGTAAAATTAAAAATTGAGCGATGCGTGGCCGAATATGTTGTGGATAAGCATAATATTGATACACAGTAGCGAAACCAATTGTCGCATATCGGGTAGTACCCACAGACGTGGTATATTTTTCGAATCTATTTTAGAAAAGTGATTATTTAATAAAAAAAATCATGTATATCATACACATCTATATATTGGTTTGAGTAGCAGGATATCAAAAATAGCTTACAAATTAAAATACTGCCATTGTTCGTCATCGATATCAATAAAAAGAGCCGCATCTATGTACCAAAGAAGGAATGTTTGAATCCTTTGATGATATTCTCTGAATCCTTTGTAACCCATATCTGCCTTATAAACCACAAATTGTCTCGTCGTGCCTTCATCTGTGTATCATTCAATAAAAACAGTAATAATAATCATTATAGTTTTTAAATTTTAAGTCAAATGTATAGAAACAGACATAAAAGAATTAGATACCATTTATTGAGAAAGACTGTATCAATTCTCCGTATGGTATAAATGTATCATCCTTGGCAAGCGCCTTAGTGAAATTCGCTAAACTATAATGAACATCAGGAGCAAGCTTTGGAATGATCTTTGTTAACACCTCATCGGCTTCGACTCCCTCATGTTTTGCATTTACTTTCTCAGTATATTTCATTCCCAAATATGTTTCCAAAGAGCCTGCTGCATAGAACAACTGTATTTTTAGGTCCAGATAACCAAATATTATTTCCCTATAAAGAATAAAAAGAATAAGAACAACAAGATCCACACTAACATGAAATTACAACACATATATATATATGTATATATATATATATATATATATATGTTGTAATTTCAAAAATAAAAATTTGAAACAGAATGAAATATATATATATATATATATTTCATTCTGTTTCATGCATAATGTGCATAATGCATCATTTAGGCCCGACTGTTGCACCTTTTGGTAAATTTTACCTGTTGGGTAAGTAGCAAGATTATCCTATCACATGCGCGGATTGCCAGATTTACCTAACAGGTAAAATTTATCAAAAGGTGGAACAATCGGTCCTTATTCTAGTTCAACATTCGGTAAACAACAAGGATAAATGATAGGATAAGGATGATGCATCATGCATATAATGTTTACATAGTAATTAATAAAAAATATAAATCTCAATAAATTATAACAACAAACCTATCTCCGAATACTTGATAAGTCATCTCCGGTTTGAAGATAGCCTCTTCCGAATGCAAGTCGTCGAGGTTGCGAATTAATCTGAGTTCCAGGGCTTCGTTACTGTCTGCGACTAGCTTCTTTAGACGTGCTGTTGTCGAATCTTCCATTTTTATAAAGAATCAACGGTAGGATTGAGGAAAATAATATCCGTTCGTTAGAACTCCGGTTCTTCTGGAGTTCAAAGATTCGACCTTGGAAATGAAGATCAACATAGGTTAGAACATTGCAAGCAGACAACGTCGAGATGTCGGCGTAAAAGGACAAATACTTGGTATTAATGATAAAACTGTGTAATGGTGATACACGGTTGGATTCACCGATTGAAACCTTTTACGTTAATCCTTGACACCCAAACACGATTTGGCGCCAAAACACGGCGGTTTCGAGCAAAGTGATTTCTGAATGGAACCGTTCGCAGTTGCTTCTTCAATCATCGACAAAGTATTATAAAGACCAGTCTTATTTAAGTTTGCGTGCTACTAAAATTTTGATGATTATCCTGTGAATATCTCACAATATACAATATTAATTTTATGATTTATTATTAGTGTTTCATAGATAAGCATTATTTTCGATTGATATCCGATATTGAACTGATTTTTATTAAAAATTTCACTTTCATTGTTATTATCCATGCATGATAATTGTGGAGAAAATGCAATTTCGTGACAACATATATAATATTATTACATCTCTATAAATATACTTATTTATAAAGAATCTAATATATAATAATAAATCTTTCATAAATTTAATATATATTTTATTATGAATATATTTTTAAAATTTTTACGTCTTCAGTTGGTAACGTCAAACTCTTCAATTATCCCCGAGCCCATTCGATAGTCATGTAAATTTATCTAAATAAGGTTGGCTCTCTCTAGTATCATAAGACATGGTCCAATTATATATAGAATTTCGTGAGCCATAAATTAAAAAAAAGAAGATATATAGAATTTTATTCCGAATTTCAGCAGAAATCATAAATCGTTTAAAGCGGATTTTATTCTGTATATCTAAATTTAAATCATTCAATGCTTACTTTATGAAAAAATCAAGTATCAATTTAATTATAAATATGTAAAAATTTAATACATTAAATAGATAAGTGTATGCATTTAAGGATGCATTTTCCGACCCAGCAAACGAAAATGGATTGAAATGGATTGAAAATTTTCATCCATCTAAATCCGTATTTTAAATCCATAAAAATGGATTGGATTTCATGTATAAAAAATTTTTATATATGTAAAAATTTAAATAAATTAAAATAGTAATTACATGAAATTTTATAGTTATTATATCTAGTTTGAATAATTTTAACTGTTATATATTCATTTTGGACATGGCGACAAAAACTATTTCGACTGTAATAATCTCGAAGAGGACGGATGATATTTTTAGAATATCACCTTATTTTGACATGTTAGCCTGTAGAATTTTATATTTTAATTAATTAAATTGTATTCATATTTTATTGAGGAAGACTAAGTCGAAACGTTTACTCAATATTTTTATGTATTAACTAATATAATTAAATTATTATTATTCTAACATCTCTTTTTGCTCGTTTATTGGTCGTTATCAAGAATTTTTATATTGCTTTGCAAATTGTTGAGCGTTATTATACTTGTTTATTTTACTATAATATTATTTTTAGATTGAAAAGCATAGAACCCTGGTAGCAAGCTGACGTCAAAATGACGTCATTTGACGTCAAAACGACGTCAAAATGACGTAGCTTGCTACCTGGGAAATATATATTTCAATAATATATATAATATATTATATATATATTATATATATATATTCCATGCCATTCCTATTAATAAATAAAAATGCATTCAGGATTGAAAAGGATTCATTTTAACATTCATGAACACATCCGTATTTCTGAAAATCTGAATCCATTTTAATCCATTTCAATCCATTCTCGTTTGCTGGGATAATGTATCATCTTATCCTTCTTTATTATTCGGTGAACAACAGAGACAAATGATGCATCATGCGTTTCATGTGTGAACTTGGAACGCACCCTAAGATGCATCGTTACCAGGGAGATGTAAACAATTCTGTATAAATTATGAATCGATTGATCTGTTTGCTGTTCCTGCACTAAAATGCACTGGAACTCTCTTTCTCGCTTTCGACAAATATCAAACATATACCTATCTCACTTTAATTTTCAAAAGTGTACATTTGCAGCCGCAGAAAAC